TGTGATGAGCCACCTGCTCTCCCTGTCACTTCCATCCGTCGAAATTATTTTGCTGTTAGCTTGCTCCATCAGACCAGCTGAACACGACCGCGAGCTGGAAAGGATGCAGCCGCTTTAGATTAGTTGGCGCAGGTCTGGCCATTTCATTTCCACCTGTACTGTAGGCAGAAGTTATTATGTTTTATAACTAGATATGTAAGTGGAAGATGGGTTTGTGTTGTTGGAATGTTCAGGTTAGATTCTGGCTCAGCGAGAAGCTAAACTGCAGAAATACGACATACTGTGTTTCGTTGCTTCAGGTACCGTTTGGTTTGTTTAGATAGAGCTAAGATAAGATAGAGCTTTATTTGTCCCACAGCGAGGAAATTATGATGTTGCCGTTGCACACATTACACTGCCAAAAAGTGGTGAAAAATATGTGTAAAAAACCTCGAAATTAGCTAAATTTAGTCTAATTTGAGCACTGCCTTAAAACAAGGTTTGCCAATGGGACAAGCGAAATTATCTCTGTTTTAAAAAAATACAAGTAATGTCTCCCTTGGGATGAAAAAGTATGTTGAAATAACACTAAATGGCTTTCTCCCTCTGACTCCCACTGACGTCTGCTGCCGTTGTGTCCTTGGGCAAGACACTTAAACGCCCCCCCTCTTTCCGGGTAGAAAATGAATGAATGGATAGCAAATCTTGTTTTAAGACAGTTAGAATATGCCCAAATAAAAATAAAAAAACCCACTTGATTCAAGCATTTACAACCTCGTATTGCATCATGTTTTGCAGTATACGGCAGAATTAAACAAAATAAAATACTAAAGTAAAAAGATAATACAGTAAAAGAAATCTCTGGAGCTATAGAAAGACAGAAGCTAGATGAGCTAGATTGTATGTTTTGATTTATGTGTTTGCGTATCTTCATTCATGTCTAGATATCGAGAGTAGAATGCTTAAATACGGAATACATTCTTGAATGAACCCAAACATGAAAACATTTGTTGAAAAATCCCGTCTGTGCTATTTTTCTAACTCAGTATTCATTGACCAAATTTGGCACTATAACATATTTGTTTCTTTGGGTTTGGGTGCACAAAATATTGCGAGTCTTACCAGAGTGGATTCTTCCCTCACCACCATCAGAAAGCGGGCTACTCTGGAGGCAGCGATAGAGACTCCTCTCGTACCACGTCTTGGCTCCGAGAACAAAGACTCGCCGCTAAACATCCTACTCGCCGTCGCCAGAAAACACACACACACACTGATCTCTCCACAGAAAATTCAGCCTTGCACTAATTTGAGCGGTTTCACGGGAAGAAATTCAAAGCAGATGTCATTTGCCTTCTTGCTGGTTACATGAGAGAAGGCTGTTCCGTTTGGCGGTACATGAGACCCTTATTGCGTTGCTGGTGTCTCTTTGGGCCTCTCAGACGGAGAGGAGCATTAGTGCAGAAGAAACCTTTGGAAGTGTGAGATAACAAGCTGGAGCAGGATTCCACACGAGGTGCTGTTTACAAGGCTCTAATTACAGTTAAATGTGATCTGTGCAAAGCAAAGAACAAAGCAGAAGAAAATCGCAAAGATAAAATGTGCGCATGAAACTTTTATTAAGATTTTTAAAACATATTTTGGGGAAAAGAACGTGGTAATTTAACTACTGTAATGTATTACTTTTTGTGTAGTGCGGTAATGTAAGGCATTCCAAAACAACTGGGTGTTATTTGACTCTGTACAAGGGTCAGTAACGATAAACCTATTTAATTTTGGGTTAAAATGCAATTTTTGTTTTTATACTCTGCCACCGCAAAATCAACAGAGGAAAAAGTATCTGCCCCAATAGTGTTTGCATGGAAGTGCTTTTCCTTTCTGGTAGAAGATGGCTAAAGCTACAGCAGAAAAAGGCACTACCTTGGACAACAGTCAGACTTCCATTATTTAGATTAAATCTTAATGGACTCAAAGAATGTATTAGAATATATTAATTAGATTAATAAATACCAGCATACTCATTGATTGGAAACTAATATACTTGCATTTGATTTAAATGTTCATTAAGCTTGGCGATTAGACCCCGGCAAGAAAACTGCATGACGTCTGCAGGAGGGAGAATAAAAGGCTGCAAAAAAGCTTGCAAAACCCCAGGGCCTAGAACCTGGTGGTGAAGAAAGCCGAGCCGAAGACATGAAACTCCACTGAGAGGCGGTGAAGTGGAGGAGGCGGGTTACTGCTTGAACAGCTAATGAGCTGCAGAGAACTGAGAGGCTCTGTTGGAATGCAGCCATGAAGTGATGTTGAGCACAAGTGTGTTACTGAGCGGCTGAGGCTGATTGCTGTTTCTCAGTTAGTTGCTGTTGTCAGTGTGGCAGGCATAGCGTCTCTTTGTTCTTCCAGTCTGAATTTACGCATGAGCTTTACGTTTGCTGGAGACAAAGATTTGGAACAAAACAGTTAAGTGCACTTACTCCATCAACCTCAAGCAATAGCATCATTTAGTGTGTATATGATATATTTGGTGAAAGTAGAGCAGTAGTAGTGATGCTTTAGTGAAAAACATCACATCGAACATCTACCCTTTTAATCCATTTCTGGGTCAGGGGGGTGGCAGTCAGAGATGCCACCCAAGTCTCATAGGACCAGCCCCTCACTGACCCTCTACAGGTGGTGAGTCCACAGGAGGATGGCTGCTCAGTGCGTGTGAGCATAGCCTTGATCTTTCAGTGGGGGCTTTGGGCAAAGTGGGGTTAAGTGTCTTGCCCAAGGACACAACGACAGCAGTCATCAGTGGGAGTCGGTGGAGAAGGTGCAGAGGTGGGAATTGAACCCACAACCTTCTGGCCTGAAGGCCAATGCTCTACCAACTGAGCTACTGTCGCCCTCAGCCATGCATCCATTTTCTTTGGGCTTTATCCATTGCCCACCTAGCAAGGGAGGGCAGCAGTCTATTTAGAGTCGTCCTGAGACTTCTCCATCCACACACTCTTCCTCCAGCTCATCTAGGGAATTCCCGAGGCGTTCCCTAGCATTACAATACAATTTATTCTTGTATAGCCCTAAATCACAACAGGAGTCATCTCAGAGGACTTAACAAAACCATTGAAATCACCAACACAGGTCAGAGAATCAACAGTTAAAACACAAAAGAGCATATAGAACACATGTTGATAAATGTCCATACATGTTGTAGAATGTTAAAGTGTCCTGGATCATCACCACAGTCCTTTTTGTTTGACACCAACTGTCCAACAGAACCTCCTGCATCGGCAAGGAGAAACTCACAAAAACCCGGTGGGAAAAAATTGAGAAACAAGCATTTTATACAGAAAAACCATAAAAGCAGAAAAAAGTAATATCCCAGATACTAATATAGTAATATACCATATTGCTGCAAGTATTTTTTATATATATTTTTTTCTTACATTTTTTAATCAAATCTTTTTAGCTCGACCTTCAGCGACAAACTGAAGTTATGTGTCCGACCTACATGAAAGGAAAATGTATTGAAATGTATTCAGGAGCATCAGAATAATATAAAGTTTATGTGAGTGAGGATGACACGCTCAGATATATACTGTCACTGTGTATAACGGTGAGTAGTCAGCAATGGAACTAAAATAATTATGGAACAGGACAACAGTGTACTTTAGTTCTACAGCTGAACAAAAGGTCAAAATATAGTTCTTAACAATTATACTGTATATCCAAACATTAAGACAATGTATGGATGAAATAAATACTGGTATAGTCAAAATACCTCTGAGACAGGTTAGTGCCATATGAACCAACTTGTCTCTGAGGAGCACCGGGACTGTCCTCCTGCTGGGACTCTGAGGAGCACCGGGACTGTCCTCCTGCTGGGACTCTGAGGAGCACCGGGACTGTCCTCCTGCTGGGACTCTGAGGAGCACCGGGACTGTCCTCCTGCTGGGACTCTGAGGAGCACCGGGACTGTCCTCCTGCTGGGACTCTGAGGAGCATAGGGACTGTCCTCCTGCTGGGACTCTGAGGAGCATAGGGACTGTCCTCCTGCTGGGACTCTGAGGAGCATAGGGACTGTCCTCCTGCTGGGACTCTGAGGAGCATAGGGACTGTCCTCCTGCTGGGACTCTGAGGAGCACATGGACTGTCCTCCTGCTGGGACTCTGAGGCGCACAGGGACTGTCCTCCTGCTGGGACTCTGAGGAGCACAGGGACTGTCCTCCTGCTGGGACTCTGAGGAGCACAGGGACTGTCCTCCTGCTGGGACTCTGAGGAGCATAGGGACTGTCCTCCTGCTGGGACTCTGAGGAGCACAGGGACTGTCCTCCTGCTGGGACTCTGAGGAGCACAGGGACTGTCCTCCTGCTGGGACTCTGAGGAGCACAGGGACTGTCCTCCTGCTGGGACTCTGAGGAGCACAGGGACTGTCCTCCTGCTGGGACTCTGAGGAGCACAGGGACTGGGTTCCTGCTGGTGCCCAGAGTCAGAACTAAACATGGAGAGGCAGCCTTTCTGTTCCATGCAGCAAAAATCTGGAACAGTCTTCCTGACATTGTGAGACAGTCTCCTTCTCTGACAGTGTTCAAGGTTAAAAACAGTTCTGTTTAGTTGTGCAGACAACCGAGGGATTGTATCTTTTTAATATACTGTGAATATTTATGATTCTAATGCCTTGTGTGATCTTTGAGTGGGCTTGTGTGAACGCTATACAAATAAACTCGCCTTGCCTTGTCTACAATCATGTATGCTTATCACAGGCAGATGGCGCGACAATAGACACGAATGGAAGTGTATAGCAGCACGTTCTATGGCAGCGTTTTCAACCTCCCTCAACCTCATGTATTTTGGTTGGAGCACTAATCGATCCAATGTGACACAGGTCAAACCAACCACAGGTTTAACCAATCAGATGCTAGCTTAACCAACACAGGTTTGACTCAGATCGAACCAACGTGTGTTTTTGAGCAGGAGCTGATGGAATGCGTCACAGAGACACAATCTGCACTTCTAACCTGTGATTATGTCTGTTTTTCAGAATGCAGGAGAGGGACCTACAGAGCATGTGCAGAAAGGCACTGCTGGTCACCGTGTGTATGGTGTCTCTGTGGGGACACATGAGCTGTGCTTCGTCTCACAGAAGTCACATCGGTGAGTCCACTACAGACTGCATTCAGCCACATTCAACCCAAGTCACTGCCCATTTGTTTTGGAGATTTTCATGGTAGAAACACGACCCAGAATTAAAACTAATTCCATTCAATCATATCTTATAGTACAACTTACAAACATGTATGAAAATCCAAACTGCTTTCATCACATATTTTCACGTGTGTTTGTATTTCGGAATACTTCTTCAAACAAAAAGGTGGGAAAAGATCAAGAGACATCACCTTCTTACGAGTGTGCAAAATATTGGTCAGATTTGTCCCCTACACACTGCAAGCAACAGCCACATATCTCTCTGCATTGGAGACGGCTGCGGCTCGTGGCAATTGTTAATTGTTATAATGTATTTCTATAGCCAAGGTCAGTTCCTCGGAGGACAACTTGGCTTCATTGTGAGAACTATGGAACATTACATTCATCCAAACACAGACCTCTGTGCAGTTTGCATTCATCATGTATGGATCATTCACGTGCTTTTGTATTCTTTCTCAGAATACTTGTGTTTTATATGTTGAAAATATTTTCATTTGTGTTTTTGCATCTAAAGAAACTCTGGCTGTCAAAAGACATTGATATACGGTATTTCTTATGGGCAAAAGTCCTTCTATAAATAAATAATCTGTTGTGGTCTCCTAAGTTTGTTTTTCTATACAATTAGCGCTAGAATAAAATAAATCAGGTGATTTCACCGTGAGTCCTTTAATTGGGTCTTGTCAAAACAAACGCATCCACACATGACAGCAGAGTTGAACTGCAACACTCTGGATTGCTGTGATGTCACATGAATGCAACCTATCCTAGCAATGATGTCACCTGATCATGGCGTTGTACCACAGACCTAATTCCATTGATGCACATTTTTTAATTTCTAAAGTATTCCTTTGAAAACAGTTCATTGATGTTCACAAAGGTAGATTAGAAAACAAATCAATTAAACTGCATAATTAGGCGATCTTCACATGTTGTTAGTTAATTTTCTTCACCGATGCACGAGGTGGCGCCAGGACGTGTGTGGGCATTTACAGAGATTGATTAAGCTGTTAACATATGGACCAGTGGCTTTTATATGTCATATTAGTGTAAAATGACATATAAACAACTGATTCTTCATTCAGCTATTGTATCAAATAGATTATATATTTGTTCTCCCTGTGATTTTGAGCTATATGAAGACAATCAATTTTCCATGACCTGGCTACAGTATGTTCACCCTCACAACTTCCTGATTGGTCAAAAATAATGAAAATCTTTGAGGCCCCTCATTCATTGGTTTAACTATTTTCCTCCAGCAAATCCTACTGGCTCTTGTTATGCCAATGGAACGGTTTTAGAAATATCTTTACTGGGTTTTAGAGTTGTTCCTTGCTGATGCAGGAGGGTCTAAGCTAGGGATGTCACAGAATGAAAATTGAACCTCACGTCTATTAAATTAAGACGGCAAATGTAACAGTCAATTTTTATCGGGAGCTACAACGATAATCGTGACATCCCTAGTCAAAGGACAATGGTAATGATCCAGGACACATTTATGAACTTTATCAATATTTATGAACATTGGTCATCTGCCCCTTATGGACCAATGGTTCTGTGTTTTTTATCATTGCTTTTTCTGTGTTTGAACTGTGTGATACTCTGATCTGTGTTGGCGAATTGACGGTTTTGTATAGTCTTTCGAGATACTGTTGTGATTCAGGGCTCTGCAAAAATACATTGAATTGAATTGTTGTCAGAAATATACATAATATGGATGGAAAAAACATCCAAATAATTGAAATATTCTCAATGATGAATGCATAGGCTGACGATGACATGCCTCCATTTCATTTAAAGCGTATATATAAACGCTCTCGTGCTTTCATGGCTGCGTGGACACTGAGCGTGTAGCATGCAACTAAAGTCTGGGAAAGATCCAGTACAGTAAACAGTGTGCGCCTGTGTGCAAAGGACAAGACCTTTCAAAGCAATTTGTCAGTAATGGGGAGACGGCCTGATCCCTGGGAGTCACGACAGAAACCGAGACTACACATTGGACTAATGAGGCTCATTGGACCGGAGGATACACAGCACAAGAAATCTGTGTCCAAAAGGCGTCTTCGGGGGTTCAGTCCAATCAGGCGTTTGGATGAGAAGCTGCCAATGGAATCATATTATGGAGTCATTTCATTATTTATTTATTCATTTACTTAAGCTCCACATTAGACTCAGACAGCGCACAGCCATAACTGATGTGATTCTATACTCTAGTCTGTCTCTCTCTCACTCTGCGGTCTCTCTCTCTCTCTCTATTTATCTCTCTGCTCTCTCTCTTTGGTCTCACTCTCTACTCTCTCTCCCTCTGGTTTATCTCATTGGTCCCCCTCTCTGGTCTCTCTCTCTGAATTATCTCTGCTCTCTCCCTGGTTTTCTCTGGTTTTCTCTGGTCTCTCTCTATTATCTCTCTGCTCTCCTATCTGGTCTCCCTATCTAGTTTCTCCCTCTAGTCTTTCTCTGAATTATCTCTGGTCTCTCTCTCTGGTTTATCTCTGGTCTCTCTCTATATTTTATCTCTGTTCTCTCCCTTTATTATCTTTGGTCTCTCTCTGGTTTCTCCCTCTGGTTTCTCCCTCTGGTTTCTCTCTCTGGTCTCTTTTTCTCTGATTCATCTGGTCTCTCTCTGGACTCTATAAGGTTTTTCTCTAGGTAAAATGAGAGTGGACACATGTTCTTTGCGTGATTCTATGTGTTTAACTTAAGATTTGTAATCATTGGCAACAAACAACAAAGCAAACGGATCCTTCTGCTTTAGTTATTTAGTATTGCACTCGCTGCTTGTCATCCGGAGTGAGCTGAACACCAGAGGCAGCCGCAACATTTTGTCCCTTATTTGAACACGGCGGAGCGACAACGAGATTTCAAATCCCACTTGTTTGACAACTAACATGTTGAATAAACCATTTCATCTGAAGCCTTACATGACCGTCTTGGCATTTTGCATTTTGCATTTGTCATGTGGATTGTGATTTATTTAGGAGTCAGTGAGAGAGCAGAGGCACAGAGCTGTTTGGGCTCCTCCGACACAAAGGTAATCACGCTCCCGGTCCCGAGGAACTGAGGTCAAGTCAAGGTGCGTCTAATAAACATACCTTTTTAGCACTTGTATTTACTGAGGGAGAGGAGACTCAAGCCTGGACCGGACCATAATAAGACCGCTGCATCCTCTGGAGCTCTATCTACATTCATTAGCCAGCCATGAAAGAGAGTAGAGGGACTGTGGCTATGGAGGAGAGCGATAACAAGTACCTCGCGGCGAGTACGATTTGTTTTGGTCCAGTCGATAGGATTTAGATGGACAATGCCAGCGGGTCAAATGGGAGCCTCATTACTCAGTATTTAGATATTTTGATACTGATCCTCGTGAAGCTATCGCACAAGACTGCAGTTACTAACGGTGGTCTGTTTTGTAACTAGTTTAGCATCTCTGGTCTGTCTCTCTCTCTCTGCTTTCTATCTAGTCTCTCTCTGCTTTCTAGTATCTCTGCTCTCTCTTTGGTCTATCTTTCTTGTTTCGTTCTCTGATCTCTCTCAGGTATATTATCTCTCTTGGTTCTCTCTGGTCTCTCTCTATGATCTCTCTCTAGCATTGGCTCTATATCATACCTGGGGAAAGTGCGGCCAGGGAGCCACATACGGCCTGAATCAGGTTTCCATATGGCCCTCGGACGTTTTCTCATCCGCAAACTCAGATCCCCTTTTTATAAATGAATGGGAATCAATACCCAATGCAGGTTTTTCAACTTCATGAGTGCTACAATAGCCTCAACAAATCAACAAAAACATGAATCTGTCCACATACACTACTATAATACTTTTTCTTCAGCTTCAGTTCAGCTCTGTTTCAATCCAAGCAAGAATTGAAATCTAAAGACAACTACAGTATATAATTGAAATACATATACAATTTCTCAAAGTAGTTCCCATGTCGTAAGATAGCAGCAGACGCAAAAGATACACACTTACTTATTGGCTAAATGCGCTGCTGTTAAAAGAAGGGGGGAATATAAAGACCTATGTTACAAGTACAGATTCATTTTAATTTTAAACTGAGATTAGTAATTCAAACAATGTAACGGTGGTAAATGCCAGTTACTGCTCAAGCTGAATCTGGAGACACACACTTCCCACAATGCACCACAAATGAGTGAAAAATGGCGATGAGGCTAAAGTTTCAAAAGGTTTAAAGGAAGCTTCTCCCACATTCTCACGCACACAGGGGCCACACTGCCTTATTAATGAGACCAAACTGCGCAGTGGCTTCATTTGAATTCTGTGGAATATTTCCATATTTGCTTATGGAAGGGACTTCTTCAGACTCTGATGCGCCCTAACGACTCCCAGGCTCATTCTTTTCATGCTAAAGGGATTTTTAAGATTATATGCAAATTCCCCCTAAACTTTTCTGTCTTCAATCCATTTTCTCAGTAGAAATAGAAAAAAGGCAGAAGCTGTAGTGAAAGTTAACTGTCTGCAGTTCTCTCACAGCTGATGCCACAGATCTCACTAAATGTTTTACTTTCCTGCAAGTCCTATGTTAGTTTGATCAATATTTTGTGGCCATATCCCGTCAGACCTCTGTAGCTAAGCAGGACAGGGCATGGTTAGTACTGTGATGAGAGACCTCTGGGAACTCCAGGTGCCGCAGTGGGGCAGCTATACGACTGTAAAGTGTTATGCAAGACACTTCCCACCACCGTGTATGGAGTGAATGAATAATACCTCTGACGCGTCTTTGAGTGCTATATAATACCAAAGCATTAAAACCAATTCAAGATTTAAGATTCATGATTATCAGTAACATCAGCAGCTTTTTACCATCTAAAAAACATTGCCAGGATCAAAAACATAGTGTCTAAAGCAGACCTGGAGATTCTTATCCATGCATTTGTCTCCAGTAGGTTAGACTACTGCAATGGCCTGCTCACAGGTCTCTCCAAACAGGCTGTAAA